CGGCAATTCGGCACTTCGGCACTTCGGCGAGATCGTGACAGTCCCGTAAAAGGGTAGATGGCACAAGTAAGGTGGATCTTAGAAGATAAGCGCCCATAATAAGAAGATAAGCGGTCATAATGGTCTAGTCCGTGTGACAGTAGTAGCACTGGTAGCTAGGTAGCTGGAGTAACAAACAGTAGCAGTAGTAACGCTGGTAGCAAGGTAGCTGGAGTAGCACTAGGAGCACTAGTAGCACTGGTAGCTGAGGGAGCACCGGTAGCTGAGGGAGCACTGGTACCAGAGGGAGCACTGGTAACACTGGTAGCAGAGGGAGCACTGGTAGCATGAGGGAGCACTGGTAGCAGAGGGAGCCACTGGTAGCAGAGGGAGCACTGGTAAGACCTAGTAGCAGAGGAGCACTGGTAGCTGAGGGAGCACTGGTAACACTGGTAGCAGAGGGAGCACTGTAGCTGAGGGAGCACTGGTAGCAGAGGGAGCACTGGTAACACTGGTAGCAGAGGGAGCACTAGTAGGAGAGGGAGCCTGGTAGCTGAGGGAGCACTAGTAGGAGCACTGGTAGCAGAGGGAGCACTGGTAGCTGAGGGAGCACTGGTAACACTAGTAGCAGAGGGAGCACTGGTAACACTGGTAGCTGAGGGAGCACTAGTAGCACTGGTAGCTGAGGGAGCACTGGTAGCGGAGGTATCTAAGGGAGCATGCACTAGTAGCAGAAGTAGCCGAGGGAGCACTGGTAGCAGAGGTAGCTAAGGGAGCACTGGTAGCGGAGGTATCTAAGGGAGCATGCACTAGTAGCAGAGGTAGCCGAGGGAGCACTAGTAGCAGATGGAGCACTAGTAGCAGAGGGAGCAGTAGTAGCACTGGTAGCAGAGCGGAGCACTGGTAGCTGAGGGAGCACTGGTAACACTAGTAGCAGAGGGAGCACTGGTAGCTGAGGGAGCACTAGTAGCACTGGTAGCTGAGGGAGCACTGGTAGCGGAGGTAGCTACTGGTAGCAGCACTAGTAGCAGAGGTAGCCGAGGGAGCACTGGTAGCAGAGGTAGCTAAGGGAGCACTGGTAGCAGAGGTATCTAAGGGAGCATGCACTAGTAGCAGAGGTAGCCAAGGGAGCACTAGTAGCAGATGGAGCACTAGTAGCAGAGGGAGCACTGGTAGCAGATGGAGCACTAGTAGCAGAGGGAGCACTAGTAACACTGGTAGCTAAGGGAGCACTGGTAGCAGATGGAGCACTAGTAGCAGAGGGAGCACTGGTAGCAGAGGTAGCTAGGGAACGCTGGTAGCTGAGGGAGCACTAGTAGTAGAGGTAGCTGAGGGAGCACTAGTAGCAGAGGTAGCTATGGGAGGGCTGGGAGCACTAGTAGCAGAGGGAGCAGTAGTAGCACTGGTAGCAGAGGTAGCTAGGGAGCGCTGGTAGCTGAGGGAGCACTGGTAGCAGAGGTAGCTGCCCATGAGGGAGCACTAGTAGCAGAGGTAGCTGAGGTAACAACAGTAGCAGTGGTAGCTGGGGTAGCGATAGTAGCAGTCTTCTGTATAATCTTTTGCATATAAGCAAGTTACTCAAATGTTGCATCATTCCAAGTTTTGATAGTAATTCACATTACAATTTTTTTTATGAAATAGAGGTCGGAATATGTTATTGCCCCTACAAATCTTTTTTGTAAATGGGGGTGCTTCTCCTCTAGATTGGGTAAGATATATCTTTCTCTCTTGGTTGTCTGGTAGTGGATAAACAATTGCAATGAAGGTTTGCAACAATAATTGATTTTTATTACTTCTTGAACTCATCTTTGACAGACCTGACACACCATCATCTGCCTGACTTGCTGGTGCTGGAGGGTCACCTTCATCTAGTCCTGGAGGGTCACCTTCATCTAGTCCTGGAGGGTCACCTTCATCTAGTCCTGGAGGGTCACTTTCATCTAGTCCTGGAGGGTCACCTTCATATAGTCCTGGAGGGTCACCTTCATCTAGTCCTGGAGGGTCACCTTCATCTAGTCCTGGAGGGTCACCTTCATCTAGTCCTGGAGGGTCACCTTCATCTAGTCCTGGAGGGTCACCTTCATCTAGTCCTGGAGGGTCACCTTCATCTAGTCCTGGAGGGTCACCTTCATCTATTCCTGGAGGGTCACCTTCATCTAGTCCTGGAGGGTCACCTTCATCTAGTCCTGGAGGGTCACCTTCATCTATTCCTGGAGGGTCACCTTCATCTATTCCTGGAGGGTCACCTTCATCTAGTCCTGGAGGGTCACCTTCATCTATTCCTGTCAATGGAAAGATCAAGCACTGTAGGAGGGGTATCCTTCATACACAAACCTGTCACGCCATCATCTGTCTGGCTGATCTCTGCCACTGCTGGAGAGTTGCCTGCATCTAGCCCTACCAATGGAAAGATCAAGCACTGTAGGAGGGGTACCCTACATTATACAAACCTGTCACACCATCATCTGTCTGGCTGATCTCTGCCGCTGCTGGAGAGTTGCCTGCATCTAGCCCTACCAATGGAAAGATCAAGCACTGTAGGCTCTAATGAGGCTACCTATACAGACCTGTCCCACTATCGTCTGTCTGATAGATCTCTGCCTCTGCTGGACGATTGCCTGCATCCAATAGAAAGACAAGCACTGTGTAAAACAGGCATTCCTATATCAGACCTGTCACAGTATCATCTGTCACAATGATCACGCCTGCTGCACCTACATCTTGACCTGTGATTAGAAAACCAAAAAATGGAGGCTCCAAAGAGGCAACTCTTTACAGACCTGTCACACCATCGTCTGCCTTGCTGATCGCTACCACAGTTGGAGGTTCACCTTCATCTTCACCTGTCAATAGTCACAAACATTGAAGAGGCATTGTAGGCTACATGTGTTTGCTTTTGACAGCCACATACTTTCAGGAGTGAAATTCTTAGGTTGTTCCCTCTCCTTCACTTTGTTCTTTTTTCCCTTTAGCACTGAAGAAATAGGATACAAAATGTATTTTGCTCATGCATTCTTATCGGAAAGGAGTGGCAGAAATATAGGAGGGATCAGTGCATGTCATATTCATCATATCTCACCAGAATCCAATCTTATCTGCACATCTTTGGAGAAGGCAGAAGCAAGAATTGTGCAGCATTTTTCTCCTGTAAGCTGTATTGAGGAACTTTCAAGACATTGTTGACGAAAGTAAAATGTAAACCTTCTTTCCAGGTGGTGGCTTAACAATGGGACGGAATCTTCTTGGGACAGCATTCGTCCCGAATTCTTTATGCTGAGATATGAAACCTTTCATCTTTGCTTGGTCACTTGTAGCTAGTCCTGGTACTCTGTCCAGTCGAATAGCGTATGCTGGCTTTTTGTCATACTCAACTCCAATGCGAAAAAATGTTTCAATCTGCACCAAAAGTATTGTGTATGAATAATCAAATAGTTCTGTTCAACCTTAAATTACCTCCTTCACTGGTAATTCACAAAGAATACCATACAACTTCATCCCGAATTCATTACACACACTCCCAGAACCAGACAATTCAGTTTTGTCGACCCAGGACTGCAATGCAGACGCAGTGTTTAACACTACTTCTATAACATGCTTTATGAGCATATCCTTCAATTTTGGAAAGCCAGCTTCTTCAAGAATCTAAAAATAAAAATAAAATGCTAGAATTTTATAAGGCAAAAAATGCCATGCACCTCTTGGGCAAACCAGAGAAGAGTGGCATAGGCGGGTAATACACGTGGACTAATGCTATTGTTAGCATTAGACTCTAGCATTTTAACGAGTTCCTCCATTTCTGCAATTCCAGTGTCAAAGAACTTGTCACCTAACCCAATACAAAATCCTATACATGGACCACACTTCTTCCACATCTCCACCAATTTCATATGCTGACTTGTGCTGATACTAACAGGCGGGTCCTGGAACTCAATTAGCAAACATCTAGACATAAATCTGTAACAGAGAATCATGCACAGGAATTAGTAAGCACACATACACAAGATGCATTACTGAATACCTCATATCTTGATGTGGAACAAAATTTGTGGATACAACAATGCTATATCTGCTACTAGTGCTCCCTCTGCTACCAGTGCTCACCCTGCTACTAGTGCTCCCTTTGCTACTAGTGCTCCCTTAGCTATATACCTCTGCTACTAGTGCTCCCTCTGCTACTAGTGCTCCCTCGACTACCACTGCTCCCTCAGCTACCTCCGCTACCAGTGCTCCCTCAGCTACCAGTGCTACTAGTGCTACTAGTGCTCCCTTAGCTACCAGTGTTACTAGTGCTCCCTCTGGTACCAGTGCTCCCTTAGCTACCAGTGCTCCCTCTGCTACCAGAGTTACCAGTGCTCCCTCTGCTACTAGTGTTACCAGTGCTCCCTCAGCTACCTCTGCTACTAGTGCTCCCTCTGCTACCAGTGCTCCCTCAGCTACCAGTGCTCCCTCTGCTACCAGTGCTCCCTCTGCTACCAGTGCTCCCTCAGCTACCAGTGTTACTAGTGCTCCCTCTGCTACCAGTGCTCCCTCAGCTACCAGTGCTACTAGTGCTCCCTCTGCTACCAGTGCTCCATCAGCTACCTCTGCTACTAGTGCTCCCTCTGCTACCCTTTGTTACTAGTGCTCCCTGTGCTACTGGCTGCTACCTACAGGTGCCTCAATTCGCATTAGGACGAGTGGGCTTATGGGCACTTAAGACTGATTGCATCCACCTTACTTGTGCCATCTACCCGGGAGGGAGCAATGGGTCCGTAGCTCGCATGGATTGTGCTGCTGTTTCCTCGATCTAGCCGGCGAGACTTTCATCCATTCGATAGTTGACTCTAGCGTATATAGAATGCTCTGAAACATGAAAGTGAAATGGAAAAGACCACCTGTTACCTGATGTGTCAACCTGCTAAAGTATGCACTGGGAGCTTATGTCCAGCTGCTGTTTCCCCAGTTGTTTTCTTCCCACTATATACCAATAGGGGGATCTTTCTCCTTAGTATAGGCATAGTGTGAATACTTGGTCGACTTGGAAGTAACACATTTTCGGCGAGCAAAGCAATATTTCGCATGTGTTTTTACACGTACTTTAGAGTCACATAATTATCCATTATTGTATATACAGTGCTTATTATACAAAAACACATACCAAGCACGAAAGCACATGGTTATTGTTCACAGCAAAATGACATGGAGTGATTATCAGTAACAATAAATTGATTATGAGCAATAGTCACGTATAACGGCAAGCTGAATGTTAAACACTCAGATTAGAGTTCAAAAGGACCTTCGTCGGTTTGGTTTGTGCTGTAGAGAGGCTCTTCAGCTTCTTCATCTAGAGAAAGAATTAGTTCAGCTCAGTGCACACTAGAGCCAGGAATTTATCACTAAGTACAGTACAGTTAGGGATGGGCATGGTAGTACCTAGTGTCAGAGATGGGGCTATGATAGGAAGTTTTATTTATCATCTTTTTCTTCTTTTCAGTTTGATATCATTGCACACCGATGGCTTATGATAATTATTAATGACGCAAAAAAGTAATTGAGAAAAACCACACCGGGAATCAAACTCGGGACATTTTGGCAGCTAGCTACAGTCAGCTATGAAGTGCACTAAAGTGTAGCTCCATGCTATAAAGTGGGTAATTATGTTAAGAGAGGTTGTGGATCATGCACAGAGTGACTGATTAGCTACCTTCATCTCTGAAGAGGTGCACCGCCTCTCCTGGTTGCCTCCGCCTCAGGTTGCTATAGCCTGACAGTTTGTTGCATCGCGATCTATACAACAAAAGAAACAAACGGAACACGGAGAGTGTGATTGAGAATTAGATGTGTAAAACACCCAGGATAGTGCATGCCCATGCTTCCTTATTTCTGCGTGGACGTTTGGTGGCACGACATACGAGAGTTTCCAGCAGATGAGGGCAGTGGCAATGACAATCAGAACAACCACCACCAGTGCTCCAGCTGCCCCACCAGCAACTGCTCCCACATTAAGTGAACCTTTCATTGAGAAAAAAGATGTGCATAATGACTGAGCAGTCAAACAAATAGTTGGTTAAAAGCATGCGAAGGAGGAATATTTACTGTTATGAAGAGAAGACCAAATAGATGTGCATCAAGACTGAACAGAACAAAATATAGTTGGTTAGAAGCATGCGAGGGAGGATTATGAAACCAGCTCTATTTGTAAAGGCCCCTTGCATATTGGGAACAAAGCGCCTGCATATTAACACTACCTTTGCTGTTGGCATCAGCAACACAACTTGGGACATGAGTGTTATTCCAGACTCCAGAACTGGTGCACAGCTTACTGCTGGGCCCACTCAGAGTGTAGCCGTCATTGCAAGAGAAAGAGACGACCGTTTTCTGAGACGTCTCATTGGAGTCAACGTTGACATTGTCGGGGAGATTCATCTTCTGGCAGTTGACTGGCGACAGGAGAAATGTATATATAATACTGGTGTTATTAATAACCCAACAAACACACAATTGCAAACGTCAACATAAAATTAGTCCTTTACATATCAAAATCATTTTGGCACACAGCTCTTGTTACATATGTGCAATGGTTGGTTCTAGTAATGTTACACACTCATCGTTTTCTATGTACTTCGTATATATTAATACAGACTCATATGTTGGGAAGTATGTACGTATATATGTACTCCTAACCTTCCTTGCATCCTCCAAGGGTTGAGCTCCACGTCTGATTAGAGCGACACACAACAGCAATGTCTCCAGTGCTGGAGTCAAAGGTGTAGCCACCGTCGCATTCCGTACTGACTTTGGTGCCAGCAGTAGTGGTTGGCGTGCTCAGACTGCCGTGGGCTGGTTTGGAAAGCTCAGGGCATTTTGCTAAAGAACAGGACAAGAGCCATTATTCACCACACATGTATATAAATAATGTCAACACACATGTACATTCTGTATCTGCTTATAAATCGAGTATATACACCTATGACATGTGGACACACTCTGTGTTACGTACGTACCTTGCTTGCATCCACCTAGGCTTGAGTTCCATGAACCACCGACACGGCAAACCACACTTATACCTCCAGTTGTGGGATCAAAGACATAGCCAACATCACAGTCGACTTGCACTGTGGTCCCTGGTCTGGTGTCTGAGGAGCTGAGTTTACCATTGCGTGGAGGAGAGAGCGCCACACAGCTCTCTGGAATATATCATTTGAGAGAAAGGGAGGCATGTTATAGAAACACTAGAAGCAAACCAGAATTTGGCCTTAGATTTTAAAATGCATGTGTATCTTTTTCCCAACTATGACTGAGTCTTTAATAATCTCCACGTGCATACACTCATAATACATAATCTCAGAGTCTACATCTACACATGTGTACACTAACAGTATAGTAAGTATGTCAACTATTATAATATAATGATGTGTACGATGAACATTAATTAATTAAGCATGCAGGTTCATAAATAGTACTGTAGGCTCTTTTATGCTAACCACTAGTGCAGCTCCCCAGAGTGGCGTTCCATGTTCCGTCAGAGCGGCACAATGTGATATTGTGTCCAGTATTTGGATCAAAAATGTAACCTTGATCACAGTCGATGAACACCGTGGTCCCAGCACTGGTGTCACCAGTACTGAGTCTCCCGTTAGCTGGAGTAGTCAGCCCAGGACAGGTCACTGCACAAAACATGAACAATACAACTATATACATGGTTTATATAGGAACTTCACTGACAGAATGAAAAGCACTAAAGTGCAAACCCTCTGCGAACTGTGCATGCGCGATACTGCTAATTGATGGGCGTATGCGTTTACTCGTGGTCTCCCACTGGCCTACCCCCGCGTTATTGACTGTAGCTAAATACGACGTGGACTAAATACGTCATGGCCGGGGTGTCGCGGGATATGCGATTATGTTCGCATCTCATGCTGTCACATCCGCGAAGAGTCATCCCCTCGTCTATACGATACGTACTCAGTTAGCTATTGGAACCACGAAGATTGGAAAGAGGTAATACAGCCTCGGTCAGGCATCGAAGAGCGCATCGAATGGCGCTGAATGGACGATAGTTCTCTCGCTGGCTAGATTCGCATGGACATGACAGGCTAGGCAGCGTGTACGCTGATCCTGACGCATGCGCAGTAGCACGACGTACCGAATAAATCGCGCCGTTCAGACCACTAGGTTAGCTCGCTCCCCCTCGCCAATTAACAATGGCTCCTGCAGCTACTAACCCTACCTGAGGTACTAGAAGTATACCTAACTAATAAGGTTCTTGACACTCTGTTTGCTTTCAGATTTACTAGTAGGCGAATGCACGGCATTTTTGGCGAGCGGGAGCGAGCACATATTGACTGTATCTGCATGAGCCATCCTAGCCTATTTACAACTCGAACCTTAGAACCACGAAGATTGGAAAGAGATATATACAGCCTCGGTCAGGTATCGAAGAGCGCAGCGAATTGGGAGCCTCTCTCTCGTCGCTGGACTGTGCAGCAATTCTCGATAGCTTCGGAGGTGTTCGAGCCTGTCGTGTTGCGTTTCTCCTGATTCCGCTCGATTCAGGCAGAATATGAAATCCCTCTCGGATATATAAAAAGAAGCGCGTAATGCTGGAGCATGCGCAGTTGGACGACGTACGGTCGTAGAAAATCCGCGCCGTTCGTATATACCACTAGCTCCCGCTCGCCAATAATGTTACTTCGCTATTGTATATAGAGCTCTGCTGCTCTATATTTATCCTGTAAGCTATTACACCCATACTTGGAGTAAATCTGTAGAGTTGGCCACAGTTTCACCACCAGCCTGTGTTTAGGACAGTAGTCCGTTACTTTGGGCGATTGAAGCAACAATTCCCCAGCATAGTGTCTCTCTGCTGCAGACCTTAGCGTTCGCACACCGAAAATACATGTCTCAACGTGGAAAGGCAAGGCAAGCCAACTGCCCTGGGTGGGATTTGAACCCATGACACTCGGCAGTCTAGGCGAGTGCTCTACCAACTGAGCTACCAGGGCAACAACTCAGCTGGTAGGGGTTCAAATCTATAACACAACACAATACAAGGCAAACCCTAAACCACTATGCTATGAACAGTATATTC